ATATATGCAATGAGCTTTCAGTACGGTTACTGTGGGTCTGGACCAGAATTCTGCAGCTGTCCCGAATGTGTGGATTATGCAGCCGATCCTATGTTGATCCTGAAGGAACCCATAAAGCCGTCCCAATCAAAAATCACTTGGTAAATACATGCCTGTTGACAGTTTTCTACCTTTTTCCATTCATTATCTGTCCATTTGGAGTCGGACGCACTACGGTGCGTCCTCAATGTCTTGCCATGCTCTATTTTGTTATCATTTCTACCGGTTTTGTGGTATACACATCCAAGGAAGACGTCTTAGGTACACATCCGACGCAGCTGATGGGAAACGAGGACGTTGCGGTCCACAAATACCACCAATCGACGGCACACCGGCTACTTGTAATCCGGATGATGAAAAAGCACATTGTTGCAGTAATGGTGGTTACTGTGGAAATACTAAGGTAAGGGATAAAAGGTTTCAGACCATGCGGGTGGAGGTTGTAGGGTACCAGCGAGCACAAAAAGAATATTACGGAAACGCTCATCACTTGATACTATTTTCTATACTGATAACATAAAAAACTTCATAAAACAAAATGTGAAGAAAATATTATGAGTATACGGTATTCATTTCCACACGGGCTTCCCAACGAAGCTTCATAAAGTTGCGGGTCTTGTCATTTGAACTCTTCCTACTCGATAAAACTTGCAACCGACCCAAACAGTTCAAATGAAGGATTTCTCTTCCAAAACTCCTCCCTTATTAATCTAAATCTAAACGTGCTTTGGTAAATTTGGTAAGAGATTTTCTAATTTTTCCACAAAATTTGGCAAATCCAAGATTTTGGTCAGCTAGGCAAGAGATTAACAATGAGTACACTTCATTATAAGCACATACTATAAAGCATAAGAATAGTGAAATACAAGAAACTAATTTATCAAAACCCTTAAAAATTGAAAATTTTACACATATTACGTTCGATTTAAAATGAAAAGAAATTGAGAAAAAAGAATAAATTAATTGTGAAGTAAAATCGAATATTGATTATTAATTTCAGTTATGAAAAAATCTGAAACGAGATGAGTAATTACATTAAGACGAGGCGTAAATATCTCTCAATACCCATCCACTATACCCCCTGTCCTTCTGTAGCNACTTTTTTCCCGATTTTTCAGAAATTCCCCTCGCGACCTTTTTCTGAAACACTTCCATTTTCAGGAACACTGTGAATGTGTTGGATGCGTGGATTTCTCGAAGGCTAGGGATTTCAAATATAAGCCCGTCGAATGGTGGACGTATGCAGAAAAGCCGGCGAATGTCGGTAAGTAACCGTTAAAAATGCGAAGAAACCGGCGTCGATTAACTACCCTGGACGCTAACCATGAACGCAGTTTTCGATCAAAATGGTAGGAATAGATTTTCAGAAATTGTGAATGCTCATGTAGGATATTACTCATTAACGTAGACGGTACTCTTATAGGAGTTAGCCTATCCAACGATGACTCCAGTCATTAGTTGTAGCTTTTTTCACAACCTTTGATGACTGCCTATGAAAAACTTAGATTTGATCCTTCAGGACGATGCGGCCCTGATACTGAACGTCTTCCGTCTGGGAAGATTGCCAAATGCGATCCCGACGGGGAGGCGTACTGCTGTAGTCGATCGGGCTATTGTGGACGAGGTAGCGACTACTGCGAATGTCTTGGATGTGTCGATTTCAAGAAACATCCCGATTATGAATATTGAAACGCCATCTTACTTTCTTTCCTGTTTTTTATTTGATTTTAAAGTATTATTATGTGTATTATGACATAAATTCATCCATTACTACTCTATACCATATAAGGGATTATGATGCCAATTACGAACTCTGCATCCATTTGTTCCATTAGAACGAGCACAAAATAGATTTCAAGATGCTGTATTGAAGCCTATTATCTGACGTTATCATCTACTATCACTTCTTACCCACTTTTCACGTTAATGCTCGATCGGTGCACAACATACAAACTCAAATTCCTCAACTTTTCTGCAGCTAGATGAAAATTCAACGAAGATCGTTATCATTACTTAGCACTCATTATCAGCCTTTACCACTTGTAACTAAACAATTAGGCGTGGCGCCGCCAACACAAACATCCAGCGAGCTAACTTGAGGTAGGAACATCTCAGCCAGGCCAATCAAGATTACAATTACTTCAGAGTCGATTAGTTGGAATCAAAGTCGCTCAGGTGAATACAAGCACTGATTCCCGCTAGTGCTATGCCCCTTCCCGAATACACCGAGACCATGGGACAGGCAAAATGAGCCGTAATAACAATAATGATGATGATGAATGATAACGGGCTACGGTAAATATGTTTGCATACCACAAGGTACAGCTCACTTATGATCAGTTTGTCATGTCGACTGGGCGGATCAACTATGTTCGTCATAATTGTTGCTCTTGCTGTTAGTTGTTTACTTGCTTACTAGTTTTTGAACCTCCCAAAAAGGCGTAGGCGTGGTTCTGTCAAGATTCGATCATTTCATGAGAAGGGTATGCATTACAGGTATTGTGTGCCGTCAAATCGCAAGCACCCGAAACTGATGAAGGTGGTAAGTAAATCGATAGAAGGAGGTGACAGTAATCTGCCGTTTCAAAAGTTACCGTGAAAAGTGATCTCATTCAGTCATAAAAGTGAAGCTTTTCGACGACAACAAGACGCTTTTACTCACAGTACATTTTTTGAAAAACGAAAAACTCGGAAAATTCTACGAAATTGTGGCCGAACAGAAAATAAATTTCACTTGTATCCTTTATAAAGGTCGAGTTTAATTTGAATTTCATGAACTTTACAATTTGAATCTTTGATGCTTCTCTCTTGGCTCATGGTACCGAAATAGTAACAGCGGTAATGCACCTTGTAGAAGGTTGCCGGACCCCTCTCACAACTTGTAGGGAGGCAACAAATCAACTATTTCGGCGGATCGAATACAGATATCAAATCATTACTCACCATTTGTATCATTATCAGAGGAAAGTGGAGTAAACTAGTCGAAGCGTATAAGACACAGTTTTCTGGTTCAGTTTGAACATTGCCTATCAAGATGCTCAGACGCTCATTTTCATATCACTTTTCCGAGACTTGGAAGCGGCACTTCTCTTGGGAGAATCTATTGTAAAAGCTTGGTTCAGTTAGTACGATGATACCATCGCAATCGGACCCATCCGAGAGAAGAAGACATTCGGTGTTCTCACCAGCTTCTTCCCTTTGAACATGAATCCAGGGGAAGGAAATCGAGCACGAAAAGTTGTCTCAGTTGCGTAGAGATACTCTAGGATGGCGGTGCTTTTCCCGGTTACTCACGGCAAAGGGCAGTGATTCCGCCGCGACTACCATACCCTTCCACTGGAAACGTAACCATCAGACCATTCAGACTTTCCATTCAAAGCGCGCGAATGCGCGCTATCTGCTGCGGCGAGCGTCACGCTTTTGTTCGGGGAGACGTTACCACATTGGGCCCTTTATCTTACAAACCTACGGTGAACCTTGCGTGCCTCCGGTCTCAGCAAGGGCAGATTGTAACTGGGAACGACTACATTCTTGGACAAGAATCACTCGAACATTCGACGCTTGTATTCGGGTCACGGTGAGAAACAATACTTCCGAAACCGCTGACGGTTCTAGAGTTGAAACAAAATTGGAGTAGCTGCAAAGGGTACTCGACTCTCAGCGAGTCAGCATCTCCTGCCCAACACAGATTCGTCTACACTTCCATGCATCTGTAAACTCGCAGGGGTGGCCCATCAGAAGTCTAACATTTAACACTGCAACTCGAGTCCTACATATTTCCTACAGTACTACATAGTAGAAATATCCGTCAATGTCGCCCCTTTACAGGATACTCGCATACATTACACACGTTCACACCCCAGGCATAGGAATTGATGTAAAAAAGATTTAGGAATGTGATATTTTTCGTCTCTTAAGTAAATCGTGTTGAGATGTTTCAGGTTATCAGCTCAGTGGCGATTATACATTTGAAGAATTCGGATTAGTGAAGAAAAAAGAAAAATTTAAAGTGGCATTTGACAACTGTAAGGATACATATTTGAGTTTTCCCCCACCTCAGTAAGAATGAAGAATGGTATGACTGAAATTGAGTCCCGCACGGGATGCGCCACGTATTCAAAGATTACACAATTAGCAGAGCCATAAAGGAGCTCGAGGAGTGACGGAATTCCACTGGGCTCCAAATTGGTGCCAGTTTCAAGTCTTTGAAAGCACAGCTCACGATAACTCAGGGTACTCCTCCTAAGATGAAAAGCGGAAGTGTTGATAGAGAATCGCATCGGTGGCGAAGAAAATGAGAGAATTCGCGAGTGCTAAGAAATAGACGGTTTTTTAAAAGTAGTGCAATTAGGGGGTAGCATGAAATCACCATGAAGGAGTTGGTGTGGAAGAATTATTTGGACGAGATTCCCTTGTGTGCAAATGCGTGATGAGCTGGCAACAGTAAGCCAGGAAAAACGAAATTCTCCCTCACTGTCAATATAGTTGTTAAATCCAACGTGGGCGCTCTGTGGTGAAGCCCTCTCTGTGGTGAAGCCCTCTGCTGTGAATGATTTACAAAGCGGTTGGATCACGTCCAGCTTTGGGTGTGGACTTCGGCAAAGCCGATATTTGAACCCTCACTTCGGCCTATTCCAGCCGGTTGAACAGACAAGAGAAAGACTTTGTTGATGATCACGACGGGGAAGCAAAAAAGTACCTCAAATTCATCTTTTCGACCCCATTTGAAGGAGTTAGCTCAGAGTATCATCGCCGGCAACCGCTTTCCAGAAACCATTTAACTTTGCAGGTTATTTTCCCCTGACTCCTTCTCAATTTAAAGGTATCGGAGAGCCAAGATCATCTTCATTTTTCTTTTTTGATGACGACCAAGAACCTGATCTTTACATCAAGTAAGGCGATTTTTTTCTGTCGGATTGATCCCCAGGCGTAATCAATCCTTTTGTGGGTTGCGCTATGCACTCTACCTCTTATCAGAATCGGTTATACATTTGAAAGCGCACATCACTTAGAGCTAGTAACTTGCATGAACGAGTCAAGCTTCAAGCCATTACAGCCACCCCTCCAAATCAGTCTGCCACCCAATAGGGTGCCCCTGATGGGCACTGAAAAAGAACTTTTCATCGGGGAATGAGGCTCAAACTCTAAATCCCCACTTACACACTCAGCTCGTCCACAGATTCTGAGAACGAGACCAATCTGACATCAGCGAAAGGATTATCAGCATACTGAAAGTCTATCTGAACATTCAATAAACAATTTCTTTTTTAAGGGTCCTAGTTCTACTCATTGTCACGGTGGTAATGTTTAGTACTCTACTGGCTATGGTGTACTATATGAGAACATTGCGAAGAGCACAAGAAATCGAAGGTACTACCAGATAATAGCCAAACAGTACATCTTCACAAAGTTCACAGCAATGTTGAAACACTCATAGCAGCCATTCCTATACAACCAGTGCCTGAACTACTTGCTCACTATACACCTAGCCTGACAGGGAAAAGGCTGGTCCCCGTCTGAATTCTTACCGTAATGCCAATCGCGAACTGGTGGACAAGATAATCTTGCGTTCCATATCAACCGTGGCAAAATAAATCAGCCATGGAGATATAGATGACTCACACGGTTGACGACTTATGAACAAAACTTCAGTCTCGGACGGAATTCGAACCCGTACTTGTGCTTTCCGGGCACAATAAATCATTAGGAAGGTGAGGGGAAGCGGGGTCTCGGTAGTGTACGGGATAGAGCACGGTACACGGAAAGCGCAAGTACGGGGTCGAGTCCCGTCCAAGCGTGATGTTTTGTCCAAAGATCGCCAACCTTGTGGGACTTTCCCTTTGCGTACTGCGGCGTTAGAACAGCAGTTAACAAAATATTACTTCAAAGCGCAGATGACTGACACAATGCTCCGTGAAGCCGCATATGAGACCAGCTGTGTGTGTGGTGTGTGTGCGCGTGTTTTGCTTGTGTCTCTGTCACTTCACTGATTTACTGCTACTACTTTACTGGTCGCGTACAGAAGCTCTCAAGGCCCGTCTGAGACCTCTGTACCTCTAGTAGTAGCCGGCACCAATACACTTTGACGACATGCTGCGAAGTGAAGTACTACCTAAAAGACAAGCTGGCGTCCAGCAAGACAGCTAGCTTGGAATCGCTATAAGCTGCGAGCCGATCGGGAATAATGTCACTGGGTCCTTTTTCCGCTGACAAGAGTTCAGCCCTCGCTTGTAACAAGGGCATCTAGTCGACATTCAGTGGGTAATAGTTGGCTTCTGCTGGATTGTTCGAATTCAATCTATGTCTCAATGGATTGATCAGATCAACTGCACAGAGGGACAGCTGCCTCCCCAGAATGGAATGCTAAAGCCTTAGTTGAAGGGGCTGAAGTCCGGTTTGTGGAATGAAAGAGACGTTAGGTCTGCCCAGTCTGACAAAGCAATATTTCAGAAGAACGAGAGCAAATGAAGTTGGGCAGAACTGTATCAACCGTGAGTAGTAGCATCAGCCATCGCTGTTTGTAGTTCCCAGCATCGTAATTCAAACGAAAATTGCAAAAATACGGTAGCAACATAGAAACGGGAGATGTTTCTTTTAGACTTCATCATCTAGTCGGCCCAGCAAAGACAATTTGGTGTCTTTTGTTATTTTCGATGCGGAAAAAACTAAAATTGAGGCAAGTAACATGTTTCTTTTTGCTCTTAAGCATAAGTCCCTTCAATTACATAGAATTAAAAGTCATAGGAAAGGATCTGTTGGACCAGTTAGACATGTATCAGCCCCATACGATGAACGTTCGGTGTGGGTACTTCTCCCCNAAAATTGAGGCAAGTAGCATGTTTTTTGCTCTTAAGCATAAGCACCTTCAATTACATAGTGTTAAAAGTGATAGGAAAGAATTTGTTAGACCAGTTAGACATGTATCAGCCCCACACGATGAACTTTCGGTGTGGGTACTTCTCCCCGGAAGACGCGTCGGGCCCAACGCACTCGATCGCGCGTAGTCGCGAGCTATGAAGGGAGATACTTGAACTCACGGTGGAAGGACACGGTTGTCGCCGCGAAACCACTGGCGCTTGAAACGGGAATTCGGGAAGAAATAATGTCATCTATGAAAGTCATGCTGACTTCAAAATACATAAACAAGCAAGCGAAATTTGAAAACAAATAACAAACAACTTAAAAGGGCAAATAAAAAGAAAGAACAAGCGCAATGTACTTCTTTATTTTTGACTAATCTTTTTAGGAAAAGTCATCTGAAACCGGTACATCATCACAGGAAGTGAGAGAAGTGAAACCACCCCCATCGCATCACAAAGTTTCGTGAAACCACATCCTCATTTTTACGACAATGATGTGTGTGTACTGAAAAATCAAATTGCATATTATATACATGATTTAAGTTGCGCTGATTAAAGCAGTTTTTCGTGCCAATTGTGCTACACCTACAGTGCAAGGGAGAGATGTGATTTCCAATAAAATCGGTACCTAAGAAGGCCGATAGAGCCAAGTAGATGGGAAGACAGGTGCGGTTAAAAGTCTTGCAAATGTATAAAAAAATGGAATCGAGATAGAGAACTCGTTTCCCCTTCACTCAGTGCTACCTTGGCTGACAGTAGCTGACAAAGAGAATGTGATATAGAGTTACAGTAAACAGTAAGGTGTCCCATTGATCGATACAGTATGATACAGTACTTTGAGAAAGTGTGCTAAGCATACAGATTCAATGGAAGTGCAGAACAAGAAAATGTCTGTACCATCAGAGGGACCCTACTAATGATGTTTTTTGGCACAGTTTATGATAAAAATAATTCCTGAGATATTTCCAGAGCATGAGTTCGGAGCACCCCCTTATACATACCATGCCTACCGGTGCGAAGTCGAAGAGTTTCCTGAATAGGGCACATTAAGGGGAGATTGTATCGTGTGAATGCCACACCCACAGTGGACGAGTTTCAACGGCTTTGGAGAGGCTGCACTATTTCAAAAGACTCTCATGAAGGAAGTCCAAACGACTTGTCATAACCCATGCCGGCAGTGAAAAGCATTTTGGGACAACTTCGGCTTGATGTACTCATCTCTTGCGCAATGAAAGCAAGTTGAATCTCGTCCAAACACCCCTAGCATGCCATTTCCGTCATGGTGATTTCATACAGCTCTGTTCCACTACTTTTAAAAAGCCTTGAAGTAGGCCGATCTTCTCGCTTTCTTCGCCACCGATGTACTCCTCTAGATCAACACTTCCGCTGTTCAACCTAAAAGGGGTACCACAAAACTGTCGTGAACTGTGCCTTTAAACCTCGATCAACAGAGAAGAGTCTTTGCTCAACGATATATTAATGAAGTCCGAAATGCTGGCTACAAATATGATAAACGAAACTGTTACTGATGCCCGCTTTTGCCTACCTATTATACATTTACGCATATGTAGACTTCTGAAATGATTGTCATTCGGAAAGCTCTTTATACTCTCACGAGCATGCCTTGTGTATACCGATGGGGTCTGTGAACTTCTCCCCGATGTCATCTAAATAAGGGTCGAATGATAAAATCTTCGGCGTCAATCTATCCCGTCTAAAGGATGTGCCCCTCATTTGTCTTCCATTCTAATCGTAGTGGCGTACTGAAAGCATATACGGCCTATACAATTACTCGAGGTGGCCAGCCGATGGACAAACCGTGCTTTTATCCTTCCAGACGAGTCTTGCATCAACTAACCGACCCCGGAACGATGGAAGGCTTGGTTGGTTTAGGCGGATCTCGGCCCGGGACTCGAACCCATGACCATGCGTTTGAGTTCGTGCGACACTTGTCATAACACCACCTCCGCAGTGGATGAAGTAACACAGATAAGTTTCATCATTTGATTCCAAGTAATCAGGGAAGGTATATTTGATATGAGCTTGTTTTCTTTTTCAAAAGAGGGCATGGATTCATTAGGGTGTCTCAAAACACCTCACACATTACCGCACACATGCTGTTCCTATCTTCATCATGCTTTCTACTTTTCTATACTTTACCTATTCTCCTGGCTCAGGTACGTTTACACTGGCTTCTTGCTAAAGTAAAACCACGTAACAATGGCAATTCTAGAAACAACGGTGAGGCCTCGGCAAGAATGCAAACCCGCAATAAGTCCTTCTTTGAATGTTGAACTAGCCAAATGAGAAATCTCG